TTGGTTGTTCAACAGAGCTACAAAATGTTCACCATTTTCTATTATATTTGAAGTACTTTCCAGTAAAGGAGGGGATTTTTTATTAATCACATTTCTTGCCAAAAATATTACAGACTAATATATTAGTCTGTAAAAACAGCTGGGAAAGAAATGCTTAATAATGGTTATTATTTGCACAGAGCAATGGTAAAATAAAAGCATGTTGCGTAATTTGTTCTGCTGGTTTTATGACTACATGTGCCAGGACAAGACTCCTATGCTATATTGATGTTTAATCTTTAATGGACCAGCTGCAGGCTGAATAATTTTATTTCATTCCTTGTCCCTTACAATTGCAGCATCTCTCCACTGGTTGGATTAGTCACTTGTAAAGCACATGTTGAGCTATAATTTTTGAACCACTCTAATCCCCTGTCCATTTCAGATGCAGGACTGACAGATTATTCCAACTAGCTAATAAACTTTACAAAAGATTCAGACGGAAAATGTCCTGCCAAAATAAAGCTGGGATGCAGGGAGCGAGTAGGGGCACAACCAGCCTCCATGGCAGTACAAATACCCCCTTCTTAAGGGGACACATTAAAATCAGAATCTAGTTCACTAAAAACTATTACTTAAACTTGAGTTACCCCAACTAAAATATCCTCCTAAACTGTATATATTTTTCCATAGTGTATTTATGTCTCTTGTAGGCATAATGCTAGATAAAACTGTGCCATACATACTAAAAACAGTACTAAGATGTAATCAGAAGCATAATGCAAACAACATCCAGCAATAAAGAGAGAATAATTATTAATTAAAGATGTACTAAGAATCAACAGTTAGGTCTTTTTCACTCATTCATTTAGGGACTACCATTTTTCAGGTCATTTGTAACAAATCTTATTTTTCACTGAGCATTCATACAATGTCTAGTGCAAGTCGTATAAAATAACTACATCGCTTTTGAAGTAAAAATAGACAAAGGCAAAACAAAAAGAGGTATCCCTCCAAAAGCTGATTACCTTCCAACTGCTAAGCAATACCGCACTAAGAATCCAAATGAAATGTATGCAAAGGGAGACAGGGAACAGAAAAACATGAGATGGATGTGGCTGCTGGATGTCTAACATTAACCATTTTCTGATAATGGCAATCAAATCAAACCTCTGACTTCTAAGAGAATACTAAAGGTACGAAGGATCAAAGCACAACTCCCATTCCTTTTGTAGACAGCAGCAGGGCTGGCTAAGGTCTGCACCATGGGGCAAGGGCTCATTACTTGATGTCTGTACAGCACTGTGCACATATAAAGTATTAACGACTCTCAGAACAACAGAGGGGAATGCCATCTCAGCCTTGCAACTAAACCCCATTTTCTGCACAGGTAAATAAGCAATAATTAGTTTATAAAGAACTGATGATAACAGAGAGTTAGGCAATTTCTATGTCTGTATTTCTGGACAGCCTTTGGTCAACCTGGACTGAAAATGACATTTATCTAATATCCATATAACTGTAATTCCTGGGGCCATAATCACATGTAAAATGAAAGCCACCAAATGCTTTACAAATAAAAAGCCACACTAGGGTTTTGAGACTTTAACCTCACTCACTCCATCAAATAAAGAAAAGACTATCAGAAAACTGAGGCCAAATTAATGTTGGTTTTGTTTTGTTTTTAAACTAAATTGATTGCAGCAATCAATAACTAAGTTTCAAAGAACTCTTTTAGTAAAGGCCAGGCCTAGCCAGCAGGTATTACATTAACTGTCGTTATCAATTAGGACGTGCTGGGAACAGACGTTATTTACAAAGCAAGAGTTCTGGGAATCAGCTTGTGTGTTAGAAGAACCTCCATATTGCTGCAGAGCAACATTAGCAGAGCTAAGTACTGCTTCATTAAGTGCAGTGCACACGTTTCTTAATGGAGAGCAACTCTAATAGTCCAAGAGAGTTCATCTTCACCATGTAGTGTGGGATACACACATTCAAGTTAGCAATTTTAGAAATGAGACAAAACGATGTTTGTTCATTTTTCTGCTTTTCTTTCCCCTTTAAAAAAAATGAAGGATATCATAAATAAAGAATTAGTGTGAACTAGACAAACATTCTTCACAATTACTAAACTTTGTCAGCCTTTAGCATGTTTAAATGCAGCAAAGGAAGGAAGGAGATTAAAAATTGAAAAAACAGGAAAAAAAAAAAAAACAAAAAAAATCCAAACCAAAAAAACCCTGAAAGCCATCTCACATCCTCAATCCTATTCAAACAGGCATCGATCACTCCACGGTTTACGATGGAAATAGCCAAACACGGGAAAGAAAAGAGGAAAAATATTTCTGATGAGTCATTTTTCTCTTTCTTTGCAATTCCTTCTCCTCCCTTCTCCAAATGCCTCTTCGAGACATCAGAAACACATTTATTAAGGCAGCTGTACTTTCCAAAAGGTTGTGTTTTGATATTTTACAAAGCACGCAAGTTACACAAACACTGAAATATCACTGCAGCTGCATTCAACACAAACCCCAAAAGGCAGCCTATTAGCTACTGATCCTGATGGCCTGTACAGTAAGAAACAAAACTCTTATTTTGGGTGATCAATACACGAAGGATTTGGGTTTGAGTGCAATAACATGGGAAACAGGTGACTAGGGGATGAACAGCACCATTCTCTGTCAGAGGAGAAGGCTCTGGTGTGCTGTTAACATTTGCACTAACACATGGAAAAAAACATTCAAATTACTATATCAGTCTCTCTAAGGAGCAAAACATCTTAGGTAGTACAATTAAAAAGGAAAAAAACCCTCCACTGCAATCGATTAAACATAATTGTCTCTCTTTTTAACAGAGGCCATTTATCACCACCCTGAAGGTGCCTATAAATTGCAAAGGGCAAAACTGTTTTCCAGCTTGCTGGCCGTATCTCTTCCAATGACAAGTAGCATTGAGAGTCGGATGGTTTAACTGTTGCTTAAAGAAACAGTAGAATGAACAGATGGCAAGATGATTTCTTCACTTTTAAAAGCAGCTTAACTCTGAAATGGTCTGAAATTCCTGTACTTTGGTGAGGTTTGGGTAATGTCCTATTAATCAGGAGCACACTCTTTCTGCTGAAATAATTTACCTGAGATAATTTGAGCAAGCAAACACAACTGCTGTTTATTTTAACAAGAAAACTCTTTTTTTATATATAAACAAGTATGACTCAGTCCTACACAGTACTTTTACTACGAAGAACTTTCTGTCCCTTCCCTGCACTTGAAATGGGCTGTCCAACATTTCCATGCTAAAACATGTCTTGTTGCTCTCCCTCAGCACTGCCCAGACATGAAACAAGCCCTTTTCAGAGAGATGCATGCCTTCTCATCCTGCACCAGTGGTTTTAACAGTGGCTTATGCTTAGAAATCTCACTGCAAGATCAGGACCTAAGCAGCGTCCACACAGAGAGACCAACTAATATACAACGCGTGTATCTGTAAATCATTTTGCTCACACATTGAGAAAGAAGTTGTAGAGAAAGATGCTGTTTCTACCCTCTCTCTTTTAAGTAGCAGATACACATCCATACACCAAAGGCAGTGAATGAGATCGTATTAAGAATTTACTTGACTTCCCAAGCTTACCACAGGCATTCAACATTCATCAGGTTAGCTTAAAACTGTACTTAAAAAGGAGCTTTCTTGTTTCATAAAATCTTAGAATGGTTTGGGTTGGAAGGGACCTCAAAGATCACCTAGTTCCAACCCCCCTGCCATGGGCAGGGACACCTTCCACCAGACCAGGTTGCTCAAAGCTCCATCCAACCTGGTCTTGAAGAGTGCCAGTGAGGGGGCAGCCACAGCTTCTCTGTGTTCCCATGTCTCACTGCCCTCACGGTAAAGAATTTCTTTCCTACATCTAATCTAAATCTACTCTTGTTCAGTTTAAAGCCATTACCCCTCGTTCTATCACTACATGCCCTTGTAAACAGTCCCTCCCCACCTTTCCTGTAGGCCCCCTTTAAGTACTGGAAGGCCACTAAAAGGTCTCCCTGGAGCCTTCTCTTCTCCAGGCTGAACCCCAGCTCTCTCAGCCTGTCCTCACAGGGGAGGTGCTCCAACCCCCTGATGATCTTTGTGGCCCTCCCCTGGACTCGGTCCAATAGGTTCATGTACTACTTATGCTGGGGGCCCCCAAGAGCTGAACACAGCACTTTCTCCTGGTGCCTCAGCCTTTAGGATTCACCTTTGCAGAATTCTGTGGCAATAAGAAAGGCTATAAACTTCCATTAAAAGCAAGAGAAAGGCATACTGCACCTTTTAAAAAATTAAATGCTTTCAGGCATTTTATAACACCGTATGTAGGATCAAATCTCTAGCAAGGTGCTAAATAGACATGGAGGTATACAGGGAGTAAAAAAGACAGAATGAACCTTGCTATATGCATTCACCTATTTTCAGTCCCCACTACCCCAGCCCTCCAAAGATGACATTATCAAAAAATAAGCAGGACCAACTAGAAAAGGGAGGCTGTACTGCCGATCAGGCATTTTTTTTTAAATTACTGAACTTCACAATACTCAAGTGAACAGTGTCCTTTTTAAAAATCAACTGTTTTGTTACAGTCAATTTGCTGCAGCAGAAGCTCATACTCATCTCTCAAAAAGACACCAGGCTTCCCTTGATTATATTGAACATAAAGGGTAACATTGCTTTTGTGTACACTCTTCCCTCCTGCCTGGTTTGCAAATTTTTAATTGAATATAAATAGCACTAACTTTCTCTATGTGATTCATTTAGCAGGTTATCTAATCAGCCCATAGAGCAGAGTAATTATATCTGAGCTGTCATGGTGAAAATGGAATGCAAAGTGATTAATGCTGTACAAAGGAAAAACATTATTCCTCAATTCTGAGCAGCCCCACCTTCAAAGTCTCTGCAAACCAGTCCTTATAATCCAGCATTGCCTTCTGTCCTTCCCACCCATCCCCCCAAAACCAAGAAAATTACACTTAAAAGATAAGGCAATGCAACACCTGGATTGGAAGCCCAGCCAAGACAAAGCAGCAGGCTGTTCAGTGGGAGCTCACCTTTTGGCACACACGCAGCCAAGGTCAACTTTAAAGCACGAAAGAAGCTGCCATGTCCAAGAGAAGGACACAAGCTGGAGGACAGGGAGGCAAGCTGTGCCAAGGAGAGTAGGTGGAGGTCAGGAGATCACTACTGACAAGCATCAATTGTCTCCTGCAGCCCCTCCCAGCTACACCCCTTCCCACTTGCCCTACAGGCAGAAACTCCCAGCAGAACCCAACAGCCATGTCCTACCTGCCAATGTCACTCTCTAGATATGCACCCCATCCATTCATCATCTCCGGTAATCCAAATATTCCCATTCACTGCGCTAAAAAAATCAGTAACATGCAAAATCTCCACTAGCTGTCCCACCAAGTACTCTCACATCAAAAGAGAACAATCACCCTCAGCACAGTTTGGAAACTGTGCTCATGTTTGATTTGCCAGGAACGAGCCCTCTGACAGAAAAGGGAATAAACAAGAAAATGTGTACAAGGATCATCCGGAAGTTTAAGGGCAAAATTGTGCTGAGTGAGAGCAACGGCCCTGTGTACCCAAAAGTCAACAAACAGATTCCAAGTATTTTGGAATATGAACTCAGTATTTCTTTGGTTAACGAAGTTTACAAACCCGACTTGATGCCAGAGACAAAGAGAACATTCTCATTTTGCAATAAACCTCAAGGAGAGCAAAAGCTCTTAGAAGGGCTCACCCTCTAGCTGAATAAAACCAGCCTGCCAGCTTAGGAGCTGTACATGCAAAGTTTTGTAAGTATCAGTTAGGGCCAAAGGAGAAACTATACTGTCAGAAGCTTAGTCTGGCCAGAGTTATCACTTTAATCCATGAAAAAAGCAATGCCAGGATCTTCACTGACAAAAGACCAAACAGGACTTTGAACATTTGCTTTGAAAGGACAATGCCAGCAGCAGGGCACCAATGTCATACTAACACAGCCATGGGACCTGTCTAGATCCACAGCAAAACCTGTTGTGCCCACCTGTAACCTGGAAATAAAAATGGGATTTGTGTATTTTGCTAAAGCTTTTTTCAGCCTGAAGCTTCTTCTAACAGACATTTATTTCAGGCAGTGTTTAAACAAAACCCAAAAACTAACCAACCAACCAAAAAGTTCTTGCATCTAGGGATTTCCCACGATTCAAAACAGTTTTCTCACTACATTATTACAAGAT